AGGTGGAGCACAGGTGATTTTTAGGGCAGTGAAACTATTTTGTATAACTAATAGCAAATATATGTCATTATACATTTGGCCAAACCCACAGAATGTGCACCACTGAGAGTAAACCCTACACTATGGACCTTGGGTGATAATGATGTGTCCATGTTGGTTCCTCAATCGTAATAAATGTAACATACTGATTGGGGATGTTGATGGTGGGGAAAGCTGCATGTATGTAGTGGGGTTGGGGAAGAAGGGTATATAGGAACTCTGTATTTTCCACTCAATTTTGCTGTGCTCTTAAACATGTGTCTATTAACTTTTAAAAATCTAAGCTGCTAAAAAAAATAAAATAAAATAATAAAAATCCATGCGTTGAGATATAGCTCAGGTTTAGATTGTAATTGAGGGGGGGTGGGATTATGGACATTGGGGAGGGTATGTGCTATGGTGAGTGCTGTGAAGTGTGTAAACCTGGCGATTCACAGACCTGTACCCCTGGGGATAAAAATATATTATATGTTTATAAACAATAAAATAAAAATAAATAAATAAAATAGATTGTAATTGAAAGTTCTCCTTCTGTAAAATCAGTGAAGAGCAAGTTGGAAATCATTGTATGAAAGCGCAACCTTGCTGGCACCAATCACACTGTCTAGCACATATTAGGAGCTATGTAATTCCTTTTCTACCTCCACTTCCCTCCAGAAATCAGTAAGCCCTCAGCAGTGTACCCTGTGAAGGGGAGTGGATGACATCTGCAAGCACATTTTGCATAAAACAGACTGGAAATCCCAGAGCTACAGACAAGACCAGGTATATCTCTTTCTCCAATAAATTTAGATCAGAGCTTCTCTAACTTTAGTGTGTACAAAAATCATCTGGAGGAGTTTTTTAGACACAGATGGTAGGGCCCCTTTTGCAGAGTTTCTGATTCAGGAAGTCTAGGGTGGAACCCGAGAATGTGCCTAATTTTCTTTGTGTCCAGGACTACCCACATGTTACAACTATCTGAAAGCACTGTAAATCAAAACGGCCCCTGCTTTTCTTCACCCCTCATTTTGTTTAAGCTGAAAATAATAATTTTTATTCCTCTAAACATACAGAAAAAGCTTAATAATATGAAATCATATATAGATATTTGATCATAGCAAATGATAAAAAAGAAAAGGAAGCTCTTTTAACTATTTCATAGAAACCAGAGATAAACTTGATAATCTAGGGTTTTTAAACTTATAATATGGAAGAAAAATATGGAAGGGAAATACACACTACATGTGACTTATTAGTGTTCAATCATTTTTTTTCTTAGTCTGTTGGGGATGCTATAACCAAAATACCACAGACTGGGTGGCTTAAAACAACAGAAATTTGTTTCTCATCGCTCTGGAGGCTGGAAGACTGAAATCAGGGTCCTGGCATAATTGGGTGAGGGCTCTGAGTCACTGACTTCTTATGGTATCTTCATGTGGTGGAAGGGGTCAGGGAGCTCTGTGAAATCTCTTTAATAAGAGTACTAATTCCACTCATGAGGGTTCCATCCTCCCCCTCCAAAGACCCCTTCCTCCTAACATGATCACTTTTGGGAGTTAGAACTTCAACATATGAATTTGCAGGGGAACACAAACATTCAGACCACAGCAGTTGTCAATGCATAAAATCTTTCCACATATTAACTATGTAGTTTCCAGTTTGAGTCTTGAAAAACAACAAAACAGATGTCTTTGTTAAAATGTAGTTGAAAGCCAACATCTCTTTAAACAAATAGTTAAATGTGTCAGAACAAGAAAAGGGAAACACATTATTTTTACTTTTACTGATGATAAAAGCTATTCATATGCCTTATGGAAGATCTGGGAAATTCATAGAGAAGAAGTTCAAAAAGGAAAAAAAAAATCCCAGAATCCCACCACCCAGAGATAACCATCCTAACATTTTGCATTATTTTCTTCCAGAATAATTTCTAGAAAACAAATTTCTATAGAGACAAATTGTACGGCAGAAATACTATATGGTAAATAAAATTGTAAGATTCCATGTGTTCATTTATTCATCCACTTGTTAATTTATTTCACCAGAAGTGCTGTAACAGACCATTCATCCATTTACTCACAAGGTACACTACCAGATTCAGCAGGTGCTCTAAGGTTAGTAAGACATGGATCTTTACAATCTAGTAGAAGTGTATTTAGTCAGGATTCTTCTGGATACACTTACCCAGAGAGCAGTTCAAATGTACTGGTTCACCAACTAGGAAGTCCAAGAACTGGTGCAAACTATTTCTATATAAGGGCTCCCCTTCTCCCCCTTATTTCTCAGTTTACTGGCCTCTGTCTGACTTCATTTTCAAACACATTCTCTCCATGTGGTGGCAAGATGGCCCCTAACAGTTCCAGACTTGCCTTGTCCTTAGAGTTCATACTCTTAGAGATGGAAAGACCTACTCTCTCCCAGAGTTCACATGTCAAGACTGATGAAGTGACTCTGTTTAGCCCTGCCTGGGTGAACAGGCAATGAGGAGAGAGAGAGGGATTTCCATGATCAGTAGGGCTTGGTCATACCCTGCCTGCTATTACCATTAACACCAGAATAATATGGGATCAGGAAAGGGCATTTCTCCAAAAAGTAGAAGAATGCTGGTCAGACAAAGCAACAGATGCCCAATAAAGATGGGGGGAAAAGGTGTGTATTCAAATATTTTGTTGAAAACCAGGTTATATGTAAACAGATAATCCAGGTTAATATGCTCATTCAAATTGATTCTTTTTAAAAAGAGTAGAATGTACAATCTGAACCTCTTTTCAAACTTCAAAAACTTTTTCCTCCTGAAAACATGAAGCCAAGGTCCCTTGGGTGTTTCAAAAGGTTCTTACTAAATACGAGATTGTGAAGTAAATATATTTTGTGATGGAATTTAGATGTGGGTGGAGATAGGTTATACATCTTTAACTCCAATAAAAGGCAGATACTGCAATGTTAAAATTATAATAAAATAATAGTGAAAGTAGAAAAGAATGGTGGAAATTCCAGCGAAGTGGAGAAAAGCAAGGGCAAAGTAATCAAGCAGCAATCTCAGAACAGCAATCTGACACGGCAAATCTGGGTGATTTCAAGAGAAGCCTTTGGCAACCCAAAAAAAGGAAAGGAAACTAATTGAATAGTTATCCTGTCCAAAACAGATTCTCTCAACTTAACACAAAGTAATTATTTCCAAACTAAAATAGAGAAGCTGAAGTTCACATAGATTACTTAATTTACCCAAAGTCCATGAGAACTGAAGTTTATCTGAAGCCAAACAACACTCTTTTTCCACTACCAAGGAGCCACCCAGGAAAGGACAGACTACATCAATAAAGGCCAACATTTCATTTCTGACAAAAAGAGAAATTAGTAAATGCCCACTAAAAGAACACAAGGATTTAAATGATGAAGTCAGCCAAGAGTTCTGTTGTGAAGTCGTATTATAAAATAATTTACATTGTTAAAAGAACTTGAATGGCCTATACTCTGTAATCCCCTTGCCTATTTTGAAAATCAATCAACTGTCTGAGCATGTGGACATAGTTTCTGTTCACTCCTCCTTCTTCACAATTTGTCTCCAGACCACGTTAAGCTCATCCTATCTCATTCCTGATTCCTCTTGCTCCTTCTGCCTGAAACACTTCCTTTTCTCCAGATGATATTATGGCTGCTCCTTCTCATCACTGAGAATTTATTTAACTCAAATGTCAGCTCTACAGAACAACCTCTTTCTGCAACTATCCCTATTAAAATGGCAACCCCATTCTCAGATAGCATTCAGTACACGGACTTGGGTTTTTTTGTGTATGTTTGTTTAAGCTTTTACTGTCTCTTCCAAAGAGAACATAGGTTCCTCAAGGAACAGGATTTTGTCCACCCCTTTTCTCAAGCACTTAAATTATTCTTGCAACACAGAAAGCTGTCACACACACACACACACACACACACACACACACACACACAGTAATTAACTGAGTACAGGGACTGCAAGTGGTACAAACAGACTACATTGTATCACTGGTAGGGAAAAGAAAAAAAAAAAGTGTAAGAAAAGATAAAAGTAGTGGAATGGAGCCTGAAAAGGAATTACAGTGCCTATCCCCTCAGAAACAAATGTTAACAAAACAATATGCAAACACATAGTACTTACTCATTCCAGACACTGTGCTAAGCATTTTACATGTATTAACTCGTTTTCACCCCTCAGAATAGGTTTATCACTCCTACTCTGCAGATGAGTAAAGTGAAGCACATAAGCTAACTAGGCCAGGGTCACAGAACTAGTCAAGGGCAGAGTCAGAATTAGAACCCGGATAGTTTGGAGTTCCTGCTTTTAACTACTTCTTTAGTGCGCCTCTAAAAAAAGCTGAGTGGCTGGCCGCGCTAGCATCCAGTACTTCTATGCCCATAAAAATAAGTTCATCGGCTTAAAATAACTGGGGAGACTGAAAAAATAAACAACAAATTTTGTTTCAGCTAGTGGTGATTATAACACCGTTAGTTAAGAAGTGCTAATATTTATTCTCAATTCTTGTCAGCTTCTCAAGTCTACGAGATTTCACCTTCAGCCCGCAATAATACCCCACCTCACTGTCTTAAGTTTCTTCTCCTCCCTCCTCTCCACTTCGCCCGTTCATTCCAGTGTTTCTCCATTGAAAATGCTCCAAACTCTGCCTCTGCAGCTTTCTGGCTAAATCTCAACTTCCTCTTCTGTATAAAATAACAGTAATACTTGTCTAGCCTACCCCGCTAGAACTGAATAAAGGGTGAAATGCGAAAACCCTATACTGATTTTAATTTCTATAACTGATAACTGTTTTGGAGTCCTTTTCTTTCCTACACTTTATGATAAAAGAAACAGACTCTTAACGCTCAGAAACCCGCCTCCTTGAACTTACTGGCTTCTCCTAGTCAGTCCCTCTAGTGCCAACATTGCTTTGAGCTTGCGCACTAGCGACGGGCCCCAAGCCTTGGCCGCGGAGTTTTGATGACGTAAATTTCCTGCGCGTCAGAGCGAGCGGGTAGCGCGTGAAGGGGTTCAAGTTCACTTTTCGTAGCGGATTCCGGTGCTAGGGTGTGTTGTGGTCCTACAGCATGAAGGAGACACCACTCTCAAACTGCGAGCGCCGTTTCCTACTCCGCGCCATCGAAGAGAAAAAGGTAAATGGTCCCGGGAACTTCGCGATGCGTGGGCGCTCTGGTCGCACCGCCGCTCGCAGCCTTCCGGTTTGAACGCGCAGAACCCTTGCAGGCCCAGGAAGCCCCTGGAAGGAACCACAGGCTTGTTCCCCCCATCCCTTAAGCATTTTTTTTTCCCTCGAGTTGGGTTCAAAAAGCTGGAGTCACACCAGCGACTACGAGTGCTCGGGAACCTAGTTTCCACTTTCCTATGGGGAGTGGTTAGGAATCCACCTATCTCCAAGTGTTTAGCCCTGGCATAGAGTAGCTGCTCAGTAAATAATTGTTGAAGGAATAAAAGAATGAATGTTGTGCTTACAGCGGCTGGATGGCAGACAAACCTATGATTATAGGAACATCAAGATCTCATTTGGAACAGATTATGGGTGCTGTATTGTTGAACTTGGGAAGACAAGGTAACAAAGGATTCAAATTTGATAAAAACTCATTAGGGAGAAGTTTAAAAGAAACTTATTGACTCAATTGTTCACAAAGCATCTAAGAAGTCTGGATAGACTTCTTTGTTTCGCTGCCAAAATAAGCATATTTTCTTTAATGAGAGATTTTTAAAAAATTTTTAACCATGAATATATATTTCATCCCGAGTATTACATAGTTTTCTGATGTCTTTAGGTCATATATACAGCCAGTAGTAATTGCCCTGAATTTATTTTCTGCACCTCCCATTAAGTAGGCCTACTTTTCTCATTTGCCTGACATAAGAATTAGATTTTTTATTTATTTGGAAGCTGTGAGGATATTGTTCAGATAATGGTGGCCAGCTATGCCATATGAAAACTCTTAAAAAAATCACAAGTTTTCATGCTGTCTTGTGTCAATAAATATTTGTTTTAGAAAAAAGTAAAGATCATTGATTTTAAAAAAAATCTGTGAAATAGTGTTGTAATAAAAGATTTTTTTTCTTGTCACTTTTTGTGTATGCCAGTATGTGTTTTATTTCTGTATATATTCTATACTTTATATGTAATTTCAGCCTCTAATGATACATCATACTGAATATGTTGTTAGAGTAAGATCAAAACTTAATTGGTATGTTTTAAATTTATTTTTAATTGAAAAGGATATATATTTAGTTAACAGATTTGTGCTTTATTTTGCAGAGTTCTTGGACAGGTTTCCTGTGAACTTGTCTCTCCAAAGCTCAATAGGGCAACAGAAGGTATTCTTTTTTTTAACCTTGAACTATCTCAGATGGCTGCCCCAGCTTTTGAACCTGGCAGGTACTTAAATCTTTTTTTTTTTTTTTTTTAAAGCTGCTTTTTAGCCAGAGGAGAACATAACAGCAGTGAGCTATTGTTTTAATGCCTGGTGTTATATTTCATGACATTAGCCCATTCCTATTTTCATAGGCAGTCAGATCTCTTGGTGAAGTTGAATCGACTCTTGGAAAGATGTCTAAGAAATTCGAAGTGTATAGACACTGAATCTCTCTGTGTTGTTGCTGGTGAAAAGGTGGGGATATGCCCAAAATTCTTAATCATAATCTTAGGTTGAGTATTGTTGATTCATGGATTCTTATATCTGTACTTGTATTCTCAGAGCTTCCGTTAATTCAGTTTTATACTGATTCACTTCACTGCAAATGTTCCTGAGTGCTACCCTAGAACTTTGTCATCTCTCTCTCTGAAGGGACAAGAAACATTGGTGAAATTATCAACTTGGATGTGTGTAAAAATGTCTTATTCGAAGAACTTGTTTTTTCATATATTGTTTTATTCTGTTCTTTGAGTTGATAGAAGCAGGTAATGTGTTCTTTTTAGGAATGAGGAACTGAAGAACAGATTAAATCCTTCTTTTGTGTAGGTTTATTGACTTATAAGGGCTACACAGGGAGTTAGTGATAGACTGACATTGGAAATGTTACTCTCAATAAATTGTGCTGCATGATAATGTTTTAGAACTTTACTCTTGTTTAGGATATTTTGACTATCTTTTTGACTCCAGAGAAGTCACTGTCTACATTATATCATTGAATATGATCCTTTCTATTTGGATTACTTATAGATTATAAGTATTGTCAAGTAAAACCTAAGAGTTTGTGGTTTTTAAGTTGGGAGACAAAATAAAAATATATTTAGGTTTGGGAAAATCTTATAATTGTGCAATGGTTCTACATATTTAGAGTATATATTTAATTGTTGTCAGGTGACTCACAGAAAGGTAAATTATTGGTACTTCAGATGTTGACCTAGCTTAACATTTCTCTTAATACACATTTAAAGATAAAGTAGAAGGAGTAACTGTATATTTTAACTATAAGAGAAAAATTTGCACGCAGTGTTACTTTCCTTATGAATAGCCACTGGTTGTGATCAGTTAGGATTTATTTTTGTTTTAAACTTACATTCAGGTTTGGCAGATACGTGTGGACCTACATTTATTAAATCATGATGGGAATATTATTGATGCTGCCAGCATTGCTGCAATTGTAGCCTTGTGTCACTTCCGAAGACCTGATGTCTCTGTCCAAGGAGATGAAGTAACGCTGGTGAGCTCCCATGATTCGAGCCAGGCTTCTCCCTATGAATGAATGAATGAATATCCTTGATGTTCATGCAACTTGTTATTAGTGAATTCTTTTTGTAGATGGTAATTAAGTATGTTCTGAGATTTGTTGATAAGGCAAAAATGATAAATGGTCAAAATTGTCCCTGAAAACTCTTAAATCTCTTTTATTATAGTGTCCATCAATAAAAGCATACCCTATCTTGGTTTCCTAGGATAAAACCAGATAACTTTTTCTTAGGATTGAGCATTAGATGAAGTGGTTGGCTTATGTTTAGGAACCACATGTTAGAAATACATGGTTCTCAGCACATTGAGATACTTATGCTTACTCTGGCAAAAGTCCTTCAGAAACAGCTGGAAGGCTTATTAAAACATATTGCTAGGCTCCACACTCAGACTAGGGTAGCGATAGAACCTGCAAATTTGTACTTCTAACAGAGTTCTCGGGTGATACTGATGCTGCCAGTGGAAGGGCCACATTTTGAAAACTATTGACATATACTGTTTACATTGTCTTTCTCTTCTGCTAAATATGTCAACTTCAATTTATATGAATTCATGCTTGAATAATGAAAGTACACTGTATAGTTTGAGTTTTAAAGTTGTGAAGGAACATCAGATGCCCACATTTCTGGGCAGTCTTTCTTGTGCTGCTTTTAGGCATTAGACTAGAGTAGACTCTATAAAGACCTAGAAGTAGAGACAAAGATTTATTAATAATAGACATGTTCCTTTAGAAAAGGGAATTGGTGTAAGGAAGTAAGAGAGAGAGAGATCAATTTAAAAATATTGTAGAGTTACTGCTGGTGGCAATGTAGAGTAGTAGCATGGTCACATTGGAAAAGTTTGGCGGTTTCTTAAAAAGTTAAGTATCAACTTACGCAGCATAGCAATTCCATGCCTAGGAATCTACTCAGGAGACATGATAGTACATTTTCAGTCAAAGACTTCCATGTGAATGTTCCATGGCAGCGTTATTCATAATAGCCCCAAACTAGCAACAATCCAAATGTTCATCAGCTGGTAAGTCGAAAAACATATATCCATACAGTGGTATATCCACACAGTGGAATGGATGTACATCCATACAGTGGAATGGAGTGGAGTGGAATACTGTTCAGCAGTAAAAAGGACCAAACTAGTGATACATATTGCAAGATGGATGAAATGTGCTAACTTCAAAGGAAGCAACGCAAAATACAAATGCTTAGGGCTGGGAGTGGGAATGAGAAGTGACTGCAAATAGGCTCAAGGAGATTTGGGCAGGAGTGTATTGGAAAGGTCAAAAAACTGTATTGTGGTGATAGTTAACATAACTATAAATTGCTACAAAATGAGTAGATACATACTTAGATGAACAGATTTTATGGTATTTATATGCTAGTAAAGCTTTTTGACATATGCATAAAATTTTAAGGAACCCTGAGTGGCAAAGTCAAACAGGTAATTGTGAAAGAATTAATTTAGGTACTCAACTAACGATTAAAGGAAATATGTTTTTTATTTTAATATTTGATGTGCATGATATTTTTTATGTTTATAATTCAGTGACTAATTATTGAAGCTTTTATTTTCAAACAGTATACACCTGAAGAGCGAGATCCTGTACCGTTAAGCATCCACCACATGCCAATTTGTGTCAGTTTTGCCTTCTTCCAGCAAGGGTAAGTCTCATTCTTGTCATGGGCTGAAATTGTACATGCAGCTAGGAACTTTTTTGTTCTGTTCAAATGTGCTGTGGACAGATGAATAAACACCTCCTCTAATATTAAAGCACCTTAGGTTTTTTTTTCTTTCTTTGTAAGAGCATTAGTTGGCAAAGAGCTTTCTCAATAGAAGTGACAAATTCTTCTGTAATGAAGAGATTTCACAACACTTTTCATAGGATACTTATAAATTTCCTGTAGTGTGGGTGCTAGAGGTGTACAGGTGTTAATCGAATTGTGTTAGGTTCTAATTCAGGAAAGTAGAGTGAGAATTACTGTGGATTAATGGAAGATGGGACTTTGGAGCTTATTAGAGGAGCAAGTCATAAGGCGGAATGGTTCACAAATGGGATAAATCTAGTTTTCTTCAGCTCTCTAGTAGTTTCTTCACAATTCACTAATTCTTCCTACAACAGAAAAACTGGAGTCATAGGTCCATGTAGCAGTACCTTTAAATGAAAACTTAAGCCTTAAATCTCTTCTGAAACCAAGGGAGATATAAATAAGATATTTTAACAATTTTATGAATAAAAACTAGGGAATCTTTCAACTTCTAGTCATTATAGTGTAGAATTTCATTAGTGGGAAATAGACCAGCACTGTCCAGTAGAAATACAACATGAGCAATATATGTAATTTAAAATTTTCTAGTAGCCACATTAAAAGTAAAAAGAAACAGGGAAAATTGATTTTGATATATATTTTCTCTTATATGTAAAATATTGTCTTAGTATATAGTGTAAAAATTATTCATCAGATATTGTATATTCTTTTATTTCTACTAAATCTTTGACGTCTGTATTTTTCACATGTATATATCAGCCACATGTGACTAGAGGCCAACATTGGACAATGCAGAAATAGTATTCTTTTAATGATCCATTAGCAGAACCTAGGAGAACTTAAGAATCTAGGACACACTAGGGGACTTTCCAAATTAACAAATTAATGTAGTTTTTATTGATGAGCAATAAGTCATTTAATGAAAGTGATAGCATTAGGTTTAGATTGTGTACTGTTTAAAGAAAACTAATATGAACTTAAGTGATTTTATTATAATAGCTAGTGATAGCCCCTCAGCATTTATTTTGTCCATAAAAACTATAAATCTCATCTCTTTTCCCATTAAAGTGATTCACATCCATAGGCTTAGACCTTTACTCTGTTGACTTTTATTAATGCTATCTTTTAAAAATATTCACTATCTTAAAATTGACAAGCGTTTAGCCTCGGATTTAATCAGGTCCAATTAACATTCATTTCAGTACATATTTATTGGTGGATCCCAATGAACGGGAAGAACGTGTAATGGATGGCCTGCTGGTGATTGCCATGAACAAGCATCGAGAGATTTGTACTATCCAGTCCAGTGGTGGGATAATGCTGCTGAAAGATCAAGTTAGTGCTTTGATTAATGTTCTTTTAAGAATAGGTCTCTTCAAAAAAAAAAAAAAAAAAAAAAAAAGAATAGGTCTCTTCTTTTTAGAAGCTTTTTCTTGTTTTTGTTTTGTTTTGCTTTTTCTTGTTTTATTAACTAAAAAACCATCAAGGATAGCCATCAAGGATATTTTCAGTGATTCTAGGATATGTTCAAATCTGTTGTCAATATTATTACATTGTGTTGACTGGTGACTACAATATATCCTTTCTTTCCAGTGAGAAAAGAGATTCATCTCCTTATTTAAAAAAAAAAAAGGGGCGCCTGGGTGGCTCAGTGGTTTAAGCCGCTGCCTTCGGCTCAGGTCATGATCTCAGGGTCCTGGGATCGAGTCCCACATCGGGCTCTCTGCTCAGCATGGAGCCTGCTTCCCTCCCTCTCTCTGCCTGCCTCTCTGTCTACTTGTGATCTCTCTCTGTCAAATAAATAAAATAAAATCTTTGAAAAAAAAAAAAAAGGTGTCAAAAGGTAGAAATTAGGTACTCTCAGAAGTTGGGTTTTCAGTAAGCAGCAGTTCACAAATCCAGCTACATATCGGATTCACCTGAAGGCTTCTAGAAAATAGATAGGCATATAGCATATAGCACAGATGGGGAACGGAGACTGCTTTAGTTGAAATTTCAGTTCTGCCTTATGCTAACTGACCTTTTGCAAATGATTTCATATCTTTGTGCCTTGGCTTCTTTATCTGTAAAACAGGGAATAAAAACAGGAATAAAACCAGAATAAAGTTGTTAGGACTATAAGGATAAATACATGGGTATATTGCACTGTATAGTATATATTAAATGTGCCGTATTAGTTTCTATGACCGGTATTATGGCCATTACCAGATCCCTATTTCCAGAGATTTTGGTCCATTAGGTCCCTGAGGCCTGGAATCTCTGCTTTATAGTTTCCCCAGGCATACTGCAGCCATATTTTGAACTAATGTTCTGGGTCACTCACACAGAAGGGTAGTTAGTGCATTCCTGAGTATATAATGTATATCTGTGGCCTTTTCAGTAGTGGTATCTTTTACACTGTCAGAGAAGTTTTGGGGTCTCTTTTCTTAATGTGATATTCCTTCAGATATTTTAAAACAAGTCTCACATTTTGCATTAATTCGTGTTTACATTGTATTTTCATATTTGAAAAGGTCAAGCTTATATTTTAAAGGTAGAAAAACTATTCTCACATTTTTAGTTTTGTTGGAGAAAGCTGTGTGCTTGTCTTTAAATAACAGAATGCACTTTTATAAATAGGTTTTGAGGTGTAGTAAAATAGCTGGTGTGAAAGTACTGGAAATTACAGAGCTAATACAGAAGGCTTTGGAGAATGACCAGAAAGTAAGGTAAGTTTAATTCTTTTTAGCCCTAAATGGTCTTTTTAACAGATTTTTCTGTTAAGGACTTTCTTGCATAAGAGTAACCATGTAATTTTCACACTCCCATTTTTCCTTATCTGTTAATCTAAGTTGAATATACAGAAGTGTTATATTGTATTCCAATTTAAATATAATCTGTATTGAGAAGCCACATAATATTTTTCTTTTAAAAAAAATCAACATTTTTGGGGCACCTGGGTGGCTTAGTTGATTAAGCACCTCCCATCAGCTCAGGTCATGGTCCCAGGATCCTGGGATTGAGCCCTGCATTGGGCTCCCTGTTTAGTGGGGAGTCTGCTTCCGCCTCTGCCCCTCCCCTCTGCTCATGCTTTCTCTCTGGCTCTCTCCCTATTTCAAATAAATGAATACAATCTTTTTTTTTTTTTTTTTTTTTAAGATTTTATTTATTTGTCAGAGAGACAGAGAGAGTACAGGCAGGCAGAGTGGCAGGCAGAGGCAGAGGGACAAGCAGGCTCCCCGCAGAGCAAGGAGCCATTATGTGGGACTCGATCCCAGGACGCTGGGATCATGACCCAAGCCGAAGGCAGCTGCTTAACTGACTGAGCCACCCAGGCATCCCTAAATGAATAAAATCTTAAAAAAAACAAAACAACAAAAACATTTTCTTTAGAAAAAAGAAAATCTAATAGCTCATTTAACAGAAGCAACACAAACGGGGGTTGGTTCTCTGCTTCTTCTATAACCCACCACTCCAGTGTCTTCTGTGATGTGGGAGGTAATACCTACTTGGTAGGACAGGTTTGAGGATTAGAGAGAATAATATACTTAAAGCACTTAGCGCTTGCCTGGCACATGTTTCAATAAATTACAGTAACTTTTATTTCTCTTGATAAGCATAATAAATTGGTGAGGTTAAGTTGGTCAGCTTTTTTCTCAATGTTTCTCATCCATCAAAAGGATAAAATGGTTAACTTTTCCCTTCCTTTTCTCTTCCACCTTTTATTCCCCCTTCTCCACCCCTCCCCACCTCCAAATAAAAAACCCACACAGGAAAGAAGGTGGAAAATACGGCTTTGCAGAGTCTATAGCAAGTCAAAGAATCACAGCATTTAAAATGGAAAAGGCCCCTATTGATACCTCTGATGTAGAAGAGAAAGCAGAAGAAATTATTGCTGAAGCTGAACCTCCTTTAGAAGTGTATCTTTATTGGATGGTTTTTTTCAGTAACAACATGATTCATAACACTTTTGGCATTATTAAGAATATGTGAAGGGTGTACATACTGGTTTGTTTTCTGAAACACTGCTTTGTTAGAGAAAACATTGAAGATACAAGACAGTGATTAGTCTTATTGAGTCTGATAAAATTCTTCGGCTATCCTACAAAAACTGAAAATTTTCTATCTTACTCGCCAATTTACAGCATTTTTCTTTGGAAAATTGTTCCTTAATCTCAGTCAAGCACTTTATCTATATATATCTATATATCTATCTAATCTCAGTCAAGCACTTTATATCTATTACACATTGTTCTTGGAAATTAATTAATTATTCATCCATTTGCCACATTTATTACTGCAACTGCTGAGAGCCAGTATGTCTCAATACTTCTCACTATTGTTTCCATAAAATCTTACCTGAGTTAACGTTTTTTTCTTTCTTTTTGTTCAGCCACCCATAGCGTAGCTATTAGTGAAATTTTTTTGCACAAACTTGATGCACTCTTCATTCTTAAAACTTTTTCTCTCATCTTTTTCAACACTGCACCAAATGGCAGTATTTTTGTTACTCAGTTTCCTTAACTTGTTAAGTGTTTCTAATCCTGTGCTTTGGACTCCTGGAACTGCCCAAATTGGAGAGGGAGTAGAGAACTCCTGGGGTGATCTTGAAGACTCTGAGAAGGAAGAGGAAGATGAAGATGGCACTGATGAAGCAATCATTCTTGATAGTATAAAAATGGACACTGGAGTAGAAGTCTCCAATATTGGAAGCCAAGGTAGGTAACACTATTTATGGCTTTTATGTAATTACGTATATTATATATACATAATACATATACCTTCCCTTTTTTGGGATCTTAATTTTATATTCCTCTAAAAGAGGGGCTAAAATTTTGTGGCTTCAATTTCAGTTAAACAGTTGATGCTAATTACAGAATTAATTCCAATTCTTTTCTAAAAGAACATGCTTTGTGGAGTAGTAGTACTCTGGCATATAGTGGCATTTTAGTTAAAAAAATTTTTTTTTCTTTTATATGTAGATGTGGGCCAGTTTTAAAGGGATGAGTTCCTTAAGTTCGTTCCTGCTTGCCATTTTTTCTTTGTAGTGTCTAGATTCAAACATAAAAAGCCCATATCATAACATACATTAGAGCTGTCCAAATAGAACTGTAATGTTAGAAGTGTTCTATGCATACACTGTTTAATAAATATAATAGCCACTAGCCACATGCAGATATGAAGCATTTGAAATGTGGTTTGTGACAGAAGAATGGGATTCTAAATTTTAATTTTAGTTAATATAAAATTAAATAGCTATATATGGCTGTTACTAGAGCAGTATTAGAACATACAGAACTCTAGAATCACCTGGAATAATGGTAGTCCTAGGTGTTCTTTGCATCCTGAAAGCTGTAGAACTAGAAAAAATTGTTTTTAACTTGTGGATATTTTTACTGTCCAGAAAACCAAATTCTTGCTTGGCCCATTATAATCATGAATTGGGTTTTTCAAACCCAAACCATACAAGGATCAATGTAGCAAGTAGGCTGGCAGAGAACTAAAGGGTATATTTACTAAATCTGGCTGAAAAAAATAGTGAAGGTGATACTGTTTAGGTATGTAATGTACATACCTGCCTTCCTTCAAGGAATGAGATTAATTACCTATAAATATTACTGAGAGCCTGCTGAGGTTTTTTTGTAAGGGGGGAAAAAATTGCCTATTGATTGGGAGCCTTATTCAGCTTTCCTAGTGGTTACTTCTGTTTGGTATTATTTTTTTAGACCATGTTCCATGTATTTATTTACTATATATTTATACCAATATAAGCTTAAACACAGGGACTGTGAACCAATCTTTAGAATTTTTTCATGTCATCAGCCACATTTTTAAATGCTACATAGAATTCTAGCTTTGACAATAACTAGGTTGGCTTAATAATATTCCCTTATTGATAAATGTTACCATTTTGTTATAGAGCTACAGTAAAACATCTTAGCATATGCCTCTTTATATATTTGTGAAATATTTTTCTAAGATTAGTAAGATTAATAGCTAAACATTCAATTACTGCTTTGAAGAGTAATATTTTCAACTGAATAATGAAAATGGACCTAAGATAATTGGGAGGATGAAGCAGGTAAAGCCTTTCTAAAGTACATCAACATGAGAAACAAATTGAAAACTCAAAGATTGATATGCCACCTGGAAAAGGGTTAATTCACACTTTATATACATCATTAACTAAGGCTCAGAAGAAAAACTGGCAAAAGATACAAAGTAATTCTCAAATACAAATGGCCAGTAACATATTTCATGAGCAACCTTACTAGTAATAAAGGAAATAAATTCAAAGCAAAAAGGGATGTTTTCTCACTACTATATCAGACAGTATTAAAAACTAGGGCACCTGGGTGGTTCAGGTTAAGTGCGTGACTCCTTGATTTTTGCTCAGGTCATGATCTCAGGGTCATGGCATCAAGCACTAGTTAGGGCTCCGTGCTGAATGTGGAGGCTGCTTGTCCCTCTCCCTGCTTGTGCTCTTTTTTTCTCCCTCTCAAATAAACAAAATCTTAAAAACAAAACAAAACAAACCACCATTGGCAAGGGTGCATAGGAAAATGAGTTTTTAATAAAAGTTCAAAGAGTATTTTGGGTGGATTTGGCTAAATATTTTTTAAAATGTATATACCTCTTGACATAGTTATTCTCTTTCTAGGTATTTTCCTTCCAGTGTTATTTATAATAGGGAGAAGCTGTATAGACTTTCCCCCCTATTATGACATGACAAAATGGTCATATAATTACAGAATTTTTAGGAAATAAAGTATGTGTTATTTTTCAGAGCTCCAGGGAGTTACTTCAGGGAAGGAGAAAACAAGTAGTTCTGTAAGCCTCTACTCAAGAGTAGTTGGGACTGTTTGTATGGAAATAGAATTTTAGAACTGCTGACATAAACCCATGTAGAAATTTTCCAAGAGATTATACTTATATTGTTTCCTCCACATTTTCTTAAAGATGCCCCTATAGTACTCTCAGACAGTGAAGAAGAAGAAATGATCATTTTAGAACCAGACAAGAACCCAAAGAAAATAAGGTAACAAAGTTATGGTTTATTTCAAATGTACACACATAACTCAAGACTTCTCTGGTTTTATTCTCATCTTATCCTACTATAAACAAAGACACACACACACACACCCCCCCTTCCCTTTTTTTTTTTTTGAAATCCAGCTCTTCCTTCTTGGTTTCTTCAAACTGAGATTTAACAACAGGATCTAATTCTATAAAACTGTATAGATGGCCTTTTAAGGTCACTGGATTTTATTCTTAGTTGGCAAATGTTATATATTCTCCTGGAAAAAAAAAAGAAGGTCTCCCATTTTGGTAGTCCAGACTTAGAACGAGCAAAATGGTGTAAGTCTGGTAAACCATCCATTGTATCGGCTTTATAGTGCTAATACTGTTAGTAACTTTAATTTATTTTATTCACAGAACACAGACCATCAGTGCAAAACAAGAAGCACCAAGTAAAAAGCCAGTGAGAAAAAGAAAAAAGAAGAGAGCTGCTAATTGAAGCTCACATAGTTGTATATTTGTGTATATAACTATTAAAAGGATATTTATTCAGTGCTCATAACTTGAGTATTTTTCTATTCACAAATCCATTATAAAATCTAGTCGATTCTTTATATGATTTTTTACATTGTGCTTTAAAATAAACCTCTGAACAACTTAGTGGGTTTTAAATAATTGTCACTTCAGTAAAGTGGAAAAGTTGATGAGGAATGAAACAGCATTTTCATAGTGTGTACAAAGGGCTGAAAGATTCTCAGGATCATCACAACTGATAAATAAGTACAGATTTATTCCACATATGCTTAGATTATGCTCAAGTCACCAAATTGATCCAGTTACTTAGGAAAAATGAATGCTCAAACTTTTATCTGTTTTCGTAAAACTATTTTTCAATTTTAGGAGAAGCCTTCCCAGTTCCCTTCTACAGTAAATCAAAATAATTCTTCAGAGTGATATCATAAAGTCAAATCAGATTTGACTTACAAAAACCAAATTTTCCAAATCCATTTATTAGTTCTTATTCTTACTGTGCTGACAGCTGGCATTATTAATACTTTAACAAAACCACTTAAAATTAGCCAAATATCTAAGATAGTTACATGTACAAAAGATATACAAATTAAAACCATTTAAAAAGTAATAGATACCATAATTTGTACTTGACCATAACGCTATTCAGAAATGATTGTAAAATTAAAACCTTACAAAAACTGTACATCATATACTTTGATTTACATTTTAGAAAACAAAAGCAGTCTTTCACTGTTACACATTTAGTGTCTCTGGTGGGTTGAGGAGAGAAACACCATGATACCTGTAAGTAGGAAAAAAACTCAGTAAATATTCATTGGGTAAAGATCATGGAATACAGAAATGCTGTTTCTATTCTGATTGAAATTAATGGTTATAGAATCATTGGTCCACAAAACATGCAAGCATGCCCCGTTCTTCTCCCCTGTTCTCCCTCAAATGCAAGACATAAAGCATAACTACAACCTACTCAAAACACCTGGCTACAAGGAGCCTGTGCCTGTTTTGTGAATCCTTTGATAAAGTTAAAATGTCAAGGATCTCAATCATGTGGTGGCCTGAAAAAGCAAGCTTCTTTAATATCTATTAATGTTAATTCTTACTTTGAACTTTTATATTTTTCTCTTATTGACTGTTGTGCATGCTGTGGTGCTCTGAGGTAGGTCTGGTGAAGGTCCATGAGACAAGGCTTAAGACTTTCCAAGGTATATCCAGTCTTTTGAACTAAAGATTCAGGCTGCAGAGAAGGGAGTAGAAAACCACTGAGTTTTGTTTTTAGTAACAGACACTAAATACAGTGAGGTAGTATTGGCATTAAACTTGAGTTTTGTTAAATTTCAAGACTTAACACCTCCAACTAGCAAATCTTCCAGATTTCTCAAGCCCTTATTCCATCTTTTATTCTGACTTTGATCAGTTTTTACTACTTTCCCTGCCAACAGCAGGTCTTACGGTCCTAATTCTTTAAGCACACCTTTCAAACCCAAGAATAACAAAGCTTTCTACCTAACAAGCAAACGTATGTTACTAAACAAGGCACTTTAAACAGCACAGATTTTTTGAACGTTTTTTTTCAGGTAGCTACCTCTATACCAGCAACACTTGTATATAAGTTATCTAACTTATCTGGCAGAAATAAAATTTAAGTTGCAAGACAGATGTGTGAGGACATGGTGATACATACCCAGCTCTGTCCTGTGACTGTGTAGAGTGCTAAATGAAAAGCTGCTGCAGCTATAACTGATGGCAGGTACTTTAGATAAGGGTCAGCATCTATGAGACTTAATTCTCCCAAAAACTGGAATGAAAAAGCAAATATACTTTTTGGTCACAAGAGCTCTAGAATTCAAGCCTCAAATTTTCCCCTTCTGCCCTAATACGTTCCTGTCTTTAAGACTGGCTCTATGGCAGGGCACCTGGGTGACTCAGTTAAATGTCTGCCTTCGGCTCTGGTCATGATCCCAGGGTTCTGGGGTCAAGCCCCACATCGGGATCCCTGCTTAGTGGGGAGTCTGCTTTTCCCTCCTTCTCTGTGCTCTCTCTTTCTCAAAGAAATAAAATCTTTAAAAGGCTGGCTCTATGGCAGCCAAAGGAAAAAAAGTCCCATAACCTTATCTGTCCTCATCCTATACTTTTTCCTCTTCCAATAATTTTTAAAACAACTCTTCTGGCTACCATTTCTTAGACTTCATCCTCATACCACTTTCCTTAGTATTTCCCAATTCATGTTATCTTCTGCCAGTGGTAGGCTCTCTTTATACTGCAACACTAATTTGTCCCCAAAACACTAAATCCCTTGACCAAAGCTATATAATTAAGCTGTGTGACCTAAGACTCTTCATTCAACAAATGAAAAGAACTTACCATTGCTAAACTTTCAACTTTGCAGTTGGCAGAATGCTGGTGCAGAAAGTATTGAGTAAGAAACTGATTTACTGTTGGTGCAGCTAGATCAAAAGCAAGCACTTTCAAAACTAGGTGCTCCATTCTCAGGACCTGTTTCTTGGTATAGGTATCATCTGTAATGTACACAAACTCTGCTACTTCTGGGGGGTATATTTCTTCAAACTTTCTACAATGAAAAAAGTTGTAAGTAATCAGTCCTTCCAAAAAGAGAAGCAAGCTGTTTATCTAATTCTGAAATCCCTTTAGCAAGAAATATGTCCAAAACCTACACTCCACCAATTTCCTGTTTGCCCTGGTACTTGACCATTTCCAGCAGAGCTAGATAAATGCTAACTAAAAGACCCAAATCCATCCAGGACTTGGGATTTTTTCCCAATGCAGTCAAAAGATATAAGAAAGAGGTAAGAGAGTTCCAAGATGGGAATAATGCCAGAGTTTATTACCACGTAACTGAAAATTTAGGAAATTCTTAGTAAAATAAACATTTTTAGTTTTTTAATGTATTTAATTTCCATGGGAGAAGATAAATTCTTTAAATTTATTTTAATAAATTAATTAAAAAATAATTTAATACATATTTTTTAATAAATATTTTATGCCAGAAAGGCACTTTTTGATGGAAGGAACCACACTTTCAAACTTGGTAATCTACTCCGAGTTTATTAAAATGTAGCCAGTCTCTCATCTTCATTCAAGAAGGTCCCCTGGAATCTAGATCTGGGAAGATTAATATCCTAAATTAGTTTCACATACTGTTTCATATTGCTACCCCTAAAGTAGTCTCTGACTTTCTGCCTTGTGTTTTTTATTAAAATGCTACAATCTTAAAAATCACAACTTCTTCCCTACACAGAAAGGTATCAATCACTTAATCCAACAAACCAAGCTGAACTTACGAGGCCAACAGCATAGCAGCAGTGCCCACAAGCTGAAGCTTTCCTCTCAACACAGACATCGATGAAAGGAACCTATCAATGTAGTTCACAGCCAAGTGCAGGGTCTCATTCTGTAGTTTATATTCTTCTCCTACTTCAACTAACCAGTCCACAAGGATAGCCCTCATACTGTTAGTGATGTCTGGCTGTTTCTTCATGTAACCCACTTTAGGCTTACATTTTACCTGTTGAGAAAGTTACTTAGTATAATGTTAAAATTGCAATTAGATTATTCTACCATTAACAAAGATGCTACATACCAGAAACATAAGTATAACATTACAATAATTCACTAGCAGTTAAAGAACTTAAAAACATCCTCTCGGTTTCATTTTGCCACAATGAATAAACAACAGTATAAAAACTGGATTCTAAGAGCTCTTACCTCCATTTCCCTAAGGTATGTGTGAATGTCCTCATGGTAGTCTGGGACTTCATTGACACTCAATGGCTTTTCATCTTCTAACACAATTGAAATATCCATAGTATGCGGTGACTCTGGAAGAATATAAAAGTATGATTAAGTTCATTGTTTAAATTTCTAATTAATGTAATGGCCAAAACTGATTGCCCTTGTAAAGTGTCCCATACAAAAGCATTTTTTTCATCCAGCTAAAAAGGGCTTCTCATGACAAAGTACATAGAATATTTCACTCTGGCTTTAGTACCTCTGTCCACTTGGTTTTAATCAACAAGAGAAAATACTAATAGGCCATTAAAAAGAAAATGCATTTGAAAATGTATTATGTTAAAGTATGATTCATATTCCATGAAGGAGAAGAGAAGATAGCACAGTGATCCTATGAAGACAGAGTTAAAATCCAAGTTTTGTGATATTATGTACTATTTACCCCAAGAGTTTGCAGACCACAAAGTCTGATAAATTCAGAGTACAATGTAGCAATAACTAGGAGGGCTAAAGTGTCAATGAAAATTAGATTTGTTATGAGCTGTTCCAACAAATTAGTACTACAATCAACAAGTGTTCCGTATTTTATCATTTTAAATGACCCTTTTAGGCAAGGAATATCATTCATTACTCTTTTCACTTCAAGGTTCATTTGAGGTTAAAACTTGTTACAAATTTTCAATAAAAATACAAAAATTACTTTATTTCTAAAGGATTTTCCTGCTACTCCCAGACCACTTCCCACAAAAGAACTAAAATCTAAATGAGACTGAACTTAATGAGTTATCAGTGACTCGACAGATCTATGGTAAAGAAGTTGCACAAACTGCTGGCAGACCTTTCTTTATAGCAGCTACTTTATTTTATATGTGATTAACTGCAAACAGCCATAATTGAACTCTTGACTCACAGGATAGTGTCCCTCTCTGGTAGCAGACTAGATTTACGGAAAATTTTAAAGCCATAAGAGATGTTAGATATCACAATATTGAAAGGTATATCCTATTCAAATATTCTCTGAAGTGATATGTACAAAGTGAGTTTTATCAGTACAACTGAAATCTATTCTCCCAAGTAAGGAAGGTGTTTGAGATCTACTTAAACTGATGTGATTGGTAGTATACCGGTCAGGGAGGAGCACCCAATTAGGATTTATAGGTCTCTAGGTTGTATTAGCTGTGAGATCTGAAGTAAGTCACACACTTTCTAAACTTTGTTACATTAAAGCAATTTCATTAAGTAGTAAGGATCAGGGAAGATAATGTCTTAAAATGCAAAATATCATTAATTCAGCCTATTTAATAATTATGATTATATTGATTTGATATAGATGTTCTTTAAAACTTACCAAAACTACCATCCATTGGATAATCAAGAGGTACCAGTGGTTTTCTTGGTCCAGGTAAAGTAATAGCTGAATTAAAAGCCAGTACATTTTCATGTTCTGTTTTTTTAGATTCAGCTGGCCTCTTCTGAGTCTCTTGTTCTGCTTCATCCACATGAATGGTAAATGCAGGCTGTTTACTGTTTGCTTTCCAGGGAGGAACAGTGACATGTTCATCATTTACAGGAAGATCCTTAAGAGGAGCAACCTAAAAAGAATAAATATCTGGCTTTGAGCCCATTAAATGGAGTTTTGCTTTCTTCCCCTTAGGGGTCTCAGTTTCTGTTTTCATTCCCAAATACTCTCAGGAAGTTAAACTACCTGGGACAAAATCCAGGCAGTAAAGTTTGAGTGGCTGAAGAAAGGGATGTTCAAATTCCTTACAGGCATTCCTACATAAGTTATAGAAAGAATCACACCAAGTGACATTATGTAAAACTAATCAAGGCTACCAGATGAGGGGAATGGCAGGCTGAAAGATGACAAGTTTAGGAGAGCCGGCTAAGAGGTGTTGGTTCACCACTTTCGCCCCAGGGTGGAGCAACAGAGCAAATCCGGTAAAATGGCGGAATTTACTAAAAGCAAAATATTTTTTATACCCTTTACTAAAATAGAGGTAATCTTAACCATATGGAAAGCAGGAAGGGGGTCCAGATCCCAGGGCAGTGCCTAGTGTTTAAAGAGGCGAGAAAAGCGCGGACACACGTAGGGTTTGGTTTGACCTTATCTATAGAAAAATATCCCCAATAAAGAGCAGATAAGCAGCAAAACACAGCGCGACGAAGAGAGCAATGGGAGAGAAGCTGTAAGTGGCATCGCACATGCCAGAAAACTGGGGACCAAGGGGATTCTAGACCCAGGCCTCCCTTAAAAAGGCTCGGAAGATACATTCTCGCCACGCTCCTCGGCCTGCTAAACCTCGTGCAAAACTCCCGCTCCGCCCTCCCTCCCGCAGACATCGCTCATTTCTTTACCCGTCGTGTTTTGGGCCTCTGCTGCGGCGCTGGAACGCGCGGATTCCCGGCCTTCAGTACCGCCAGCCCCGCCCGGGTCCGTGGCTGCTGGGCGGGCACCGCCTTCTCAGGGTTGATGTTCTCCTGGTCCTCTTGGAGCGCCGTATGCTGCAATGTTAGCAGCGATGAGCCCGCCTCGCGGGCCGCAGGACCGGACTCGGAGCTGCCCAACATCACTGCTCCCGGGGTTGCGGCGGGATCAGCCTGCGGCGCCAAGCAGCGTGTACTCCGTCCCGCCGACCCCGCCGAGAAACGCTCCAATCGTAGCCAGCCGCCACAGCCTGGGCCAGCCTGCTCTCTTGGGATCGCGCAGCTCCGAAGAGGTTGCGAAAGGCGTAGGCAGGAACTCTCGGGCGTGGAGGGCTAAAGACGCCCCCAAGATGTAGCGAACAGCCCGCCGGAGCGGCGGCTGTTCGTGCAGTTCAAGTATCCCGCGACTATTGAAATGGGCCAATGGGGAGGGCCGATGCCCGTGACGTCAGTCACGGCGACACGGTCGCAGGCGAATGAAGGCCGCCGCGAAGGCCACAGAGCAGGGGTGGAGATCCGCCGAACCGCGGCGGGAGGAAAAAGGCCTGCGCCGGCCGAAGAGGCGGGGCCTGAGTTTCTGGTGACTTTAAACTGGGCCGCTAGGTGATCTCTGGACTCTGGGAAAGGGCTGTCTCTAGAATAAACTGAGTTAAACTTCAGCAATTGCTAGTGGGCCGCCCCAGCTTAACGTTAGCCCTGGGACCTTCAGTGAGTTTAACTGGTTTCCAAAGCTCTAAAATCTGACCCAGCCACTAACTGGCCTGGTAGTCTTAATCTGGTTATTCAAGGTCTCTGATTCTTAGTTTTCTTACTATTAATTGAGAGTAAAAATATCTACATGTCATATGACTGTCACGATAATATAATGTGCACAAATCATTAACACGCTGCTCACGTAGTAACTGATACCTAAATGGCTATTTATAATGTCATCTTTTCATTTAGGTATTTCTTCAGTCATGCCTTGGAATTTCCCTAATGAAGAGGCAATGAGGGAAGATGCCACCTTGAACCTCCGTTTATATATATATATATATATATATATATATATATGGTAATGTACTGTATATATGTACTGTATATATATGTAATATACTATAAGAAATGCAACTAAGCAGTCACTGATTTTGATGCTTCTTTCCCCAAGCTGTGGCAACCAACAATAAGCACCCAGTGAAATTCTAGTGACCTAGATAGAATTATTTATTCCATTTAGCAATGACATTTGTTTAAATATAATAAAAACAATATGACCTTATTAAAATAAAACTCAGTGATATGTCCCTTTAACAAATTTTCAGATTTAATATACGAGGCTTGCATATAATAAATATAATGGTATGTAATTAAGAAACATTATTGTTTTCTGACATTCATGTGTGCCCTTCTTGAAAACCTAACTATATAATCTTTATACCATTTTAAAACAACCTTTAAATACACTATTCCCCTGAATATGAAAAAACATGAATTAAGATTAATGAATAAAACTTCTGTAGCTTTAGTCTTATTTCCCTCCATACAATGATAAAACGGAAATCAGTGGATACAAGTGCAGGAAAATCTAAGAGGCCATCATTATCTCTGCACTCTTCACATGTAGTACATTTGTACAGGTCTACTGGTTACAGGACAGCAAGTGAAGATCCTTTCAATCTGTGCAAGCTCTGCTCATTTCCCTGGCCACACTTCATAGCACTGAACCAACTCAAGCATTCTACAAACTGAGTTCGGGTCAAGAAACATTACCTAGCAAGACTGAAATCAGTTGCAAATCAATCTCAACCCCCTAGAAAAAAATAAATGATAAGTTATTTCCACTGGTTAACAACGTATATAGTAACAAGGACACAAACCAGGCACCAGAATTTGGGATGTGGTCCAGGCTTTACAAAATAACAACAATGTCCACTTAATCACTTAACCTCATAGAGAATCAGTTTTCTTATATGATTGACAAAATAACAATATATATTGTGAATATCAGATGAAGTAATGAATGGAAATAATTCTGAACACTATAAAACAGTTAATATATGTGTGTATAGCTTGTTAAATATATGAATATATTTTTATTTTCCAAATATTTCTGAATTTAAAAGTTAAAACATCCATTTGCAAAAAATTCATTAAAATTCCTTATAATCATTCCACTTGTTTTAAAATAATTCTATTTTTAAAAAGCTCCATTTCTCAAAATAGAAGCATTACTAAAAGAAGTCATACCCTAAATAGTCTTAAATGATATTAAAAAGCATTTGAAATAAAAGGATGTACAGTTAGCTTGTGCCATAATTCTGTTTTAACATATTTCATTTAAAAAGACTTCTCTGGAACTTTACCTTGTTTCTATTTCATGCAGCATCAAAGAAAGCAATCAATGCATTTTGGTCATAATTGTCCAGAATCTCCAGTAAAAGAGGTACTTTGGTTTTTACATTGGTGCCTTTGAACTTGAACTTATCTATGAAAAGATCAGTGATCATGCCTATAAAGAAAAATGTTAATTTCCTGTCATTGATTAGCTTTAATTAATAACACAGTACTTAATGAAAGTGAGTGATTATTTGAGAATCTATTTCTAAGCACTCATCACTACATTATTTAATATACAAACCTAAAGGTATATATACTTTTTTAAAAAGATTTTATTTATTTATTTGAGAGAAATAGAGCACAGAGGGAGAATGTGAGGGAGAGAAGCAGACTCCCCCCAGTGAGCAGGGAGCCCAATTGCAGGGCTGGATCTCAAGATCCTGACATCATGACCTGAGTCAAAGACAGACTTTCAACCAACAGCCACCGAGGCACTCCAGGTATTTATACTTGTAAAAAATATTTGTTTGGGGGGATTTTAGGGCAGGTTTCAAAATATTAATCATTTGGCTAATAATCCGCTTAGTAATTGCTTAAAAGTTACTAAACTCAGATAATTAACTGCTGACCAGTTTTGAATTGCTATTGGTATATATAACATTACAGTGAGGGGTTTGTTTTTCTCACCAAGCTGATCATTTTGACAGTGTAGAAAGATTTTTTTTTTAAGATTTTATTGATTTGGGAGTGAACATGGGGGTGGTGGTGGGAAAGGGAGAAGCAGACTCCCCACCAAGCAGGGAGCCCTACTCAGGGCTTGATCCCAGGACCCCAAGATCATGACCTCAGCTGAAAGCAGATGCTTAACCTACTGAGCCACCCAGGTTCCCCAACAGATTCTGTTCTTAAATTCTATTTGAGTTAAAAATATTCCATCAATATGTTATATAAAATATAAATCCCATTCTTGGGATTTATCTAAGACATGTTTCAGAATTTTTCATATTTTAGATAGATAATGAAAGGGATATACCATATATGGCATAATATCCAAGGGGAATGACTGGGAACATCTGATAACAAAACATGATAGTGTTTCTGCAACAAAATATATGGGTGAATATTCACACTAAGTGGAATAAAAATGACTATAAATAACCTGATGTCAGTTTAAGTGGAGTTTTGTCATTAAATTATTAGTTCAGATTAAGTCAAATTCCTGCCAAATGATTTATGAAGTTTTAGTTTTCAAAGCTTCCTGGGTTTTAGAACTGGTGATAATAAAAAACCACCCATCTTCTAAGTTATTATAGGATAAAAGATCAAAGGGGCACCTGCATGGCTCATTCCGTTAAGCTTAAGCATCCGCCTTTGGCTTGGGTCACGATCCCAGGAGGCTGGGATTGAGTCCCGCATTGGGCTCCTTGCTCAGTGGGGAGCCTGCTTCTCCCTCTCCCTCTGCCTGCTGCTTCCCTTGCTTGTGCCCTCTTTCTTGCTATCTCTCTGTCAAATGAATAAAAATCTTTAAAAAAATTCATATAAATAAATAAGTATATTATTTTATAAATAAATTCATTAGGCAGGCTCAAAGATCAACATGGATTGATGATACCAAGTGACTCTACTCAAGATTCTGCATAGTGCAAAAAGCAAGCATTTTGGGATGAGGAAGTTCTAAAGCAGGCTTTGCCACTACCTATGTGACAACAAGCCTTAAATGTCAGATTTCAGTTAAAAAAATGTGAAAAATGAAGATAGTACCATCTACCTTGCAGAGCTATTGTAAGGATTAAGTATCTGATTAATGAAGATGTTATTAAAAAATAGGAAATAAATAAGCTTAGTTTACATAAAGATCACAAAAAAAATGTTTTCCTTACGCTGTTCCATCCTTCCTCTTTCTCTCCCTTCCTGCATATTTCTCTTTCGATTTCAAGGTTTTTTAGATAATTTGTGAAACACGCAACTTGTCAGCACCAAAGCAAAACGCTTTCCTGTAAATTCACAGCACATATATATCCTTTATTATATTTTGCCTAAAAAATATTAAATGCTGCTTTTTGATATTTCATATCAACAGAACCTGAAAATTATCTGTGTGAAATACGGCCTATATTTTATTGCTTCATAGGTTATATTCATTTCACACTAGGTGACTTCATATATAGAGATTAATTTACTGTATTATACTTATGTCACTTAATTTTTCCTTTCATTTTTTCTAGATTTTTAAAAAAAATTATTTGTCAGAGAAAGAGAGAGCACAAGTAGGGGGCGTGGCAGACAAGGAGAGAAGCAGGCTGCCTGCTGAGCAAGGAGCCTGATGCAGGAACTTGATTCCAGAACTCTGGGATCATGGCCTGATCCCAAAGCAGATACTTAACTGACTGAGCCACCCAGGTGTCCCTTTCATTTTTTCAAGTAAAAATATTAAATATTAAAACAAATTTGACAAAATAGGTGATGCATAAATTGGTTTTCACTGGTACATGATTGCTGTAACTTTGCTTATCTTTCTGCCTAGCTTCTCTCACATCTCACAGGATCCTTCATAAATAACCAGTAGAAAATAAATATGGCAAAGTTTTCTATAATAATCCACTAACCGTATAGTCTTTCAAGATGTGCAGGTTGCTTTTTGTACTCTTCCTGTAGGTGATCTGCTTCTTCGAGAATACAGCGATATTCTGGTATCAGAAAGTTTGTATTTCCCTCATGAACCTGCAATTCCTATTTAAAATTAAAAACAGAAGGACTTTAATATTTAAAATCCAATCTAGTCTAACTTTAAAGTCTTTGCAATTTTAGAAATCCCATCACAATAAAGTAATGATCATGAGTCCAAGAAATGTATACTTACTTTTAAAGCATCAATTAATTGCACTTTCTTAGCCAAAAGCAACTGGTACTCCAACTTTGGGTGGATTAGCTTTAAAGTATGTTTGACTGATACTTCATTTATCTCTAGAAGGAGGTGAGTCAGGCACCATTAGCTAAGTCATTTTGATCAGAAACATTCTTATTGTAACAACAACCAAAAAACAATACCTTAGAAAGAATGATTTATTTTTCTACTTTCTTTTTCTTTTTTTTTTTTTTACCGTATGATATGTTGAGGTTAATTTTCCTTTTGGTAGCTTCTTTAGAGAGCACATCTTTTAGGATGGATATAGTAGAAATGTTGTCAGATTTAAAAACTCCTTCTCCTTTTCTATAAAATTAATGTATTTTTAAAAGAACAGCATTAGAAGAAAATACATACAGTGAGTAGGTCCAGTAAATACATATTTTGTGACTAGTACCTGGTGTTAAGAATTCATTTGATTTTAGATCTCTTTATATACATGTTTCCTTATTAATATAAAACATATTTAAATGTATAATCTTTTACTATTATATAAATTCAAATTCTGAAGATAATTGTGAAAGTAAACAGAAGAACATGCCTCCTAAACATGACAATTTATATAAATCCTTCATTAAAGTATCTTTTTTCCTTCACTTTCACTAATAAAATTTCTAACAGCTAACTCCATATGTATATAAAATGCATTTAGAATTGCTTATTTACATATGTTTTTCTTTGTTGTAACCACATAAATTACATGACTACATTCTTCATTCTCAAAAGAAAGTTTATATTAAGCCTAAGAATGACAGCTTCTGTTCTTCCATGCCCATCATCCA